GGGCTAGTAAACTATTTTTTGTTTATTTGCGACTGTGCTTTGCTTTATTATTCGTGAGCCCCCTGGCAAGTGTAATCATCTTTTGGAGGCAGCATTTCTTGTAGGGACAGTGGGGCGGCATTTCTGCTGTGCTATGTGCTAGTCTACCGTCACAGGTGCTGTGCTCAACGCAAACTGTGGGCTTGTGTGCAGTAGTAGGGCATCGATCGGCCCAGCTAGAGCTGTACACCGTGGGGACACAGGCACGTATGTCGTAAAGAAAAAAAGGTTATTGTCATCCGACCCTCTGGAGCTTGTCTCTCGCTCTTTCTTTCTTTCTTTCTTTCTATCTATATTTCTATCTTTCCCTTTTGTGTGCATTCCCACATGTTCTTGAATTGTTCTTTTTCTTTTCACTGTATATCTTCTCTTCTCTTAGAGGAAGTAGCTAAAAGCTAGAATAGTGAGGAAATACCTGCTTTCCAGCGTCACCCATCGCCGCAAAGGGACGCGACGCTCTTCATTGTCAGACCTCTGTAGATATAGTTAGGAAAGGGGGCTGCAATCGAACAATTAACACGAACAATGAGTGTGGAACTTCGTGTGGGTAATCGCTACCGGATTGGCCAGAAGATTGGCTCTGGCTCTTTCGGCGAGATCTTTCGGGGCACAAATATTCAGACTGGGGAACCTGTGGCCATTAAGCTTGAGCAGGTAAAGACACGCCATCCGCAGCTCGCCTTCGAGGCCAGGTTCTACCGCATTCTCAACGCCGGTGGCGGTGTCGTTGGCATTCCCAATGTTCTGTACCACGGTGTGGAGGGTGAGTTCAACGTCATGGTGATTGACCTGCTGGGACCCTCATTGGAAGATCTCTTCAGTTTCTGCAGTAGAAGATTCTCGGTGAAGACAACACTAATGCTGGCAGAACAGATGATTGCGCGAATTGAATTCGTTCACAGCAAGAGTGTTATCCACCGTGATATCAAACCCGATAACTTCCTTATGGGCACTGGGAAGAAGGGTCATCATGTTTATATCATCGACTTTGGTCTTGCCAAGAGATACCGTGACCCTCGCACACACCAGCACATCCCGTACAGAGAGGGAAAGAGTCTTACGGGGACGGCGCGGTACTGTTCTATCAACACGCATATCGGGATTGAGCAGAGCCGTCGCGACGACCTTGAGGCCATTGGTTATATTCTGGTGTATTTCCTGCGAGGCTCATTGCCGTGGCAGGGTCTGAAGGCACATACTAAACAGGAGAAGTATTCACGTATTTCGGATAGAAAGCAGAGTACGTCAGTAGAGAGCCTTTGCAGGGGTCTCCCAGCAGAGTTTGCTTCATACCTTACCTACACCCGTAGTATGCACTTTGAGGATAAACCGGACTACAGTTATTTGAAACGAAATTTCCGAGAGCTTTTTGTGCGTGAGGGGTATCATGTGGACTACGTCTTTGACTGGACACTTAAGCGTATTCATGATAGTCTGCAGGAGGGAAAGACCGAACAGCAGGAGAAGACGTCTGAAAAGGCTAATGCCGAAGAAGCTTCTCGTAAGGTTGCGTAAAGTTGCTGAAAGCCAAAGTTGAGGTTTTTTTTTGTTTTGTTCTTAGACGCGCTGGTAATGGTTCATTAACTTTGGTTTTTTTTTTTTTTTTTCTGGCATCTTTTGCGCTTTGTTGATTACGTGTACATGAGTATGGAGAAGAATATCCGTTTTGACGTTTTTTTTTTTTTTTTTTCTTTGCACTTTTTGGGCTAACGTTTTCTTTCGTGGTGCACAACAACAAAAAAAAAAAAAGTAAAAAAAAAGGAAGAACGTGACTGATGTGTAGGAGGGTGTAGGACAAAGAATGAAAGGCTGTTTCCGGTTTTTCTTGCTTTTGGTCTCTCTTTTTTTTTTGTTTTTATTATTATTGCTCTTTGCGTGTGCGTGTGCGTGTGTGTGTGAGTGTTTTCATTGTGTAAAGAAAGGAAAGGAGAACCGAAAAAAAAAAAAAAAATGATATGACAGTTGGAAAAGATATTGAAATTGGAGAAATTTATTTAAAGAGGAGGAGGTAGAAATGGAGAAGAAAAGGAATGAAAAGAGTACGAGGAGACACGCCGGTGCTAAAAGAGGAAATAATACACTGGTCTCTCTCTTTCTTTCTCTCTTTGTGCCTCTATCTATTTGGCTGTGTGTGCGTGTGTACTGCTGATCTCCTTTCGGGTTTTTTTTTCTATTATTATTATTATTATTATT